GTGGTGGCCGCGAGGGTGGCAAGCTCCTCCGGCTTGTGTCGGCCGCTAAGAGCGAGCGCGGCGCCTCCGGAGCTCCCTAAAACGCCCCCGAGTCCTTCAAGCTCTCCTTCTGCAAGTTCGCAAGCCCTTCACTCCTAAGACTGCGTCGCGCCTTCGAGATGCTCCCTCTCGCGCCTCCCTCCTCTTGTCGTAGAGCGCGGGAGAGTGAAAACCTTCGCTCGAAGAGTTCTGGCAATCTCCCGTCGCCCGTGATTATTGAGAAGGGAGGTCTCCACAGATCAATTTTTTTCTACTTGAAAAAGATAGATATGAAAGGGTTCTTTTTTGCCTTACTTTTTTCTACTTTTGAGGGAATCATCGTGACTGTAGATCCCTGAAGAAGGAATATACTCTACTCTAGAAGGGACCTACACAGTGCGTAGAGACTTGCAAGCGGAGAAGTCGTGAGAGGCGAGAGACAACAGGGGTGAAGAAATATGGATAATTTGCGCTACACAAGGTCGCTCGGTTTTTCATAATTACGAATTTATAAACTACATATGTATTTTATATCAAAGTAAGTTAAATGTCTTGTAAAATAGAATCCAAATTTTAAAAAATCTAAATAAAAGATTAGTTATATATATATTTTCATAAATATATATATATGTATACATATACATATATAATATTCTTTTTAATTTTTATTGATTTTTTAATTAAAACATCAATTAATTTTTAACAATTCATTAATTAGTAATTATTTTTAACGAGCGTATTTGTCTCTATAGTGCAAATCATTCAAGAAGATAATTGAGGGAGATCGAAAAAGAGCTCGAAGAAGATATTGCGAGAATACATTTTTCATATTCTGAGAGTGAAAGGATAACCATGGATTCTACTGTGCTGAGTGATTGTTTTGTTCCATAGAAAGATTCGATCAAAGATACTTCTTGTGGTAAATGCAATTAATTGTATATGCTTGTTTCTTCAATTGCTTTGAGAGAGAAAAGATGTATTTTATATTTATATATAATATTTTATAAAAGGAAATGATTCAACAGTTTCTTGTAAACAGAAATACAAACTGTAAAATAAACATAATTTCTAATTTTTAAAAATATTTTTATTAACATAGTATTTATTAACGAGTCAATTAACTATAGGAATTGAATACTATATATTACTAGTTAATCAAACATTGATAGAAATTCGCTATTAGAAAGTGCTTAATATAATTCTAAAGAGAGCTACTCATTATTTAAGCAATCGATGATAATTTAATACAATATAATACAAGGAAGAATCTAAAGATCTAAGAGCAAAAGATAATCTAAAGATTCAAAAGAGGTCTAAAGATGCAGGGATTGAAAAGTCTGAGCATTCAAGTGTTTACAAACACATTTAAGGGCTGTAAAATTTTGAGATCTAAATATTTAAGAGTTTAAAGATTTGAGAATTAAAAAAATGTGTAAATATATAGGGGTAGTCTAATAATCTGAATAATCAAATTTAAGCAAGAATCAGGGATGTACGTAAAAATTTTCATTGCAAATTTATATCGTCTACAATTTACTGATGATAACATGTCAAAGATCACTTTCTAAAGAATTGCGACGTTTTGTCCATTCCCTACGCATGCTGCGACTATTAGCTCTGGTCCCGGGTATCCGGGGTTGCCATAGTAACGATGCAGCTCCTACCCCTTACTTCCTGACCACCCCCTCCTTATGTGAATATTACGTGAGTATTTGTCAAGAAATGCGGAGGGACCTTCAAGATAAATTCTTCGCAACGCAGAATTTTTTTATTCATGAAGGGGGGGGAGGTTAATCAAGTAGCATTATGTATATAATTATTTATGTAAATATAGTTAAATAAAAAAATTACGGAAAAAGCTTTCTTTTTAATTTCTTCAGACTAATTTGCTTCATATAAGGTGCTAGAACGAATTTTGCTTTTTACTAGGAAATATTACATTGTAAGAAAATATAAGAAAATTTAGGAATCTATAAATATATATGTATAAATCTAGAGGATTCTATAAGATTAAAAAAAAAAAAGAATTTAATCCTTAAAAAAATTCTAGACTCTATAATTAAAAAATAAAAGCTAAAATTTAGATGTAAAAAAAAGTTTTACGTTTATAGAAAATATTGTATCAAAATAGACAGTTAATTAGAGAGATTAGAAAATGAGGATCCAAGAACCTCGAAAAAGCTATAAGAATTCAGAGGTCCAAGAATTACATAAAATCCTTAAAAGACTTAATAAAAGGTGAAGATTTAAAAATTCGAAAGTTTTAATTCTGAAATCTTAAAGTGCAACATCGTAGAGAAACAGGTGCACAATTGAATCGAGTAAGATGAAGAAGGAAGGTTTCGTAAATATCAAAAGACGGGTATTTAAACGAGACCAAAAGAATCGGAGAATCGATAAGCGAGACCTGGAAAATCAAAGAAAGGGTATTATCCAAAAATATCATCTCCCAAGATATATCCAAAAGCTCGAACCAAGGCTCGAGGCCGACACAGATATGACCTTTGACACATTAACAGTCCTGGTGGTGCGACAGGGGGTTAGACTCCGACCTACACAAGAACTACCATTCATAGAGCAACAGGATTACTAAATACAAACGGACAAGGCAGATAGACAAATAGATAATCAGGCGATTTCCACAGAGGTGGGAAAGGTGTGAGAGAAGAGAAGAGAGGACCCGAGCGCTGATCATCGCACCTTGGTCCTGCATTCGGCAGTTATCACCCCCCGGCTGTTCCAAGTATCAACGGCAGTGGCACATATATTGAACGGTGTCGCACGGACACGGGGCGAGGAAGCAGGAGGAAGAGCTCGATCGCGGAGCAGCCTTTTTTTCTTTCTTTCTTTCGCTTTACGGTCGTTCTCGCCTTCCGGACTTACGTTTGTCGCGGTTCTTACGCGCCTTCATCGGCCAGCAAGAGCGCAGACTTCTTGCTCGGCCTGCCCCTGATATATCGGCGGCGGGACGAGATTATCGGGATTACTCGATTCACCACCACTAATCGACGTGACGCATCCCGAGACACGCTCCGAACGAGGAGCTCCGCACGCGCAGCGGAGCGGTATGAGAAAAAGAGAGAAAGAGAGAGCAAGAGATACAGCGAAAAGCTGGACCGCAATTGCGGATGCTGCACACGAGATACGTCGCTCTGGCTGCTGCGGCTGCTGTCCGTCCTTCGCGATGCTGGACGGTGGCTGCGGATGACGTTACACTGCGCCGATGGTGCCACACTGAACCACCGCGGGGGGTCCGTGGGAAAACATGCCACACGTCGCTTTTAACGCGCAAGTGCGACGATCTTCGACAGCCGGTGGTAGAAACAGCTTAGCGAGAACCTTAGACAAAAAGTTTCAAATCGCTACTTCGAATAAACTGTCACTGAAAAGTCGAACATTCTTAAAAAGTCTTCCCCAAATGTCTGGAAAGATTTATATCCAGGGAAATAAAATTTTTTTAATTTTTTCTGAATGATTAAGAGTTAAGTGTTAGATATTAAACAAAAAGTATAAAAATAAACTTTCTAATGCTTATCACAAATAGAATGAATTCTAATTTGATTAAAAAGAATTTAAATTTAAATGTTCCAGCTTCTTTTATAATTGGAAGAATTAAGTCTATCTAGCTAAAAATTAACAATTTTAATTAAATTTGTATTTCTTATCAATTAGAATTTAGAAAGAAAAGTAAAAAAATAAAAAAATAAATAAAACTACAGTAAGCTAATCGATCGTTGGAAACCTTTAAGTTCTAAATAAAAATTAAAAGTTTAAAAAATAAAGTTTTATAGAATCTTCGAAAAGTTATCTCGAAGGCCTCGAAAGCCCCGAAGCTCTTAAGAAATGATAAACATAGTACTGTATCACGAAACAGAATTGACAGCACGTCTCTTACCAGCTGCTTCACTTAAATTTCGACTCATGAACATATCTTTCCAATAATACAATTCTATTATTGAATCCGCTCGTGAAACGTCATCTCGTGAGACGTAGCTGACAAATCGGACCACTTTAATTGCTAGCTGTTTCAATTTAAAAATAATTTGTCCGTTAATGTTCTATGAACGACGTAATTGTCAAAAAATAATAACGTATTCGACTGATAGAGTTATTAAGTTATCAAGCGCAACTGAAACATTTATAGGCCATTCTTTTAAGCTAAATCTATATCGTTTGAAAAAAAAAAGAGAAAAAACCGCGTAAGAAGTTCAGCTCTAAAAAGAACAGGCCTATTGTACTAAATGCAAATAATAACAAAAGTTTCTATTATTCCAATAAATTTCAGCTTCTTAATAGTAATAATGTATACTCATTTTAACAATTCTTTCAAAAAGTCCAATATTTTACTCAAAACTCGTAGGAAATACTTAAATGCATGTGACCATTCGCTTTCTATTCAAATAGTCACATATCGATTCTGTATGAAGGTAAATCGACGAGCTAAAGTGGATCAATTCCCCATTAGATTTTGCAAAAATAGTGAACGGTTAATTAATTTATAGCGTTCTTATACTTATTTACGTCAAAGCGTCGAGAATGTCGATATCGCTTGAAAGTTGTAATCGAGGCACTTGGAAGCTGCAATTATAAAATTGCAAATAAAAGATTTGTAACAAGTACCCATAGGCGTATCCAGTGGGAAGGAGATGATTCAAACTTCCAACCAAAACTTTTTATTCTTTTTTTTATTTTTAATTTATAAAAAATATAACTTTACTTTTGACTCTGAAGAATTTTTGTTACATAAAATATTCTTTTCTCTCTGTTACAACTATATAAATAATTTCTGGAACTTGCGTTAGTTAGAACTTTGATACTGTTTGATGTACATAAAAAAAATTTTGCAAGATTATTAAGTCGAAAAATAGAATATGCGCTGAGATATTAATAGCTATGTTTAGCAGTCATTAAAAATAGCTTTGCAATTGTTGTAAAATTCTTTAAAATAATGATTTTTGCCCTTAATTCTTCACGAATCTAAAAGTATAAACTAATTATATTAAAGAATCTTACAACAATGGTAAAGTTATTTTTTCTTCTGAATGCAGCCATTGAGCAATCAATTCTCAAGTATACATTTTGTTTTTAATA